TCCAAAACTAGAAATGATCTCTGAAGTTACAATAGGAATCAGGAATTCAGGTTCACCTTATTTATATATCGTTCGTCAAGTGGAAAATCAAAACAGGTACAAATTTTATGAAACGACTTAGAGGTGTGACAAATGTTTAACAAGCTGCTAAAATAGCACCTGAAAAACAGTTTGATCTTAAGCAATGAGTGATCACAACAGGAAACTTGCCTTGCTTGCATGTATATTCACTAACATTGCTGCTCCCTTGACCCAGTTCAAAGCCCAATGCAGACTAATTCTCAGATCAATATCCCTATTCATTTTAGAGCTGTAGATCATAGAATCCCTACAGTGTGGAAACAGGCCCTTTGGCCCAACAAGTCCACGCCAACCCTCAGAGGGTCCCATCCTGACCCATCCCCCTAATCTACATATCCCTGAACACACTATGGGCAATTTAACATGGCCAATCTACCTAACCTGCACATCTTTGGATTGTGGGAGGAAACTGGAGCACCCAGAGGAAACCCATGCAGATGCAGGGAGAATGTGCAAACTCCACACAGATGGTTGCCCAAGGGTGGGATTGAATCCAGGACCCTGGTGCTGTGAGGCAGTAGTGCTATCTACTGAGCCACCGTGCCACCCACATACAGGTTAGCTCCAATTTTATTTGATTAGCTTGCTTACACAAAAATAACCTATACATTAAAGAGTTGAGCATAGCTGTTTAAAAATTTCTATGAAATCATCCTCCATATTAAGATGCCAAGATACCTCTCTGACAACTGGTCATTTTTGATGGTGATGTGTTTAGTTTCTTTTCCTGGAACAGATTGTCATCTTTACTGCCTGAGTATAAAATTGAAATCTTTGCACACAAGTCTTGTAGAGCTTGTTTTAGTCTGTTTAAAATACGGTTACACAACACTTTCTGGGCAACCAATCAACCTATCTCTAACATTGGTACTACTCTTGGTTCTAACTGTGGTACATGTCACATGTTCTAACTGCTAACTAAATGTTAAAACTATTCAAGATACAACCTTACAACAGTTAAGTTGAGAAGAAAAACATTCAAAACTACATATATGCTCCCTAAAATCTGTAGAAAGTAATCATATTTTCCTAATAGAATTACATTATAGTTTGACTTTCTAATTAGCTATCACTAAATGGCATGTAATGTCCTAGATGATTGGAAGGTTCGAGCCTGACCCCTGACCAGCAATTTGAACTGAGTGTCATGACCTGAAACTATTTGGAAACTCTTACTGACTTTGGGAGTCCTATATACCTAATTGCAACTTATCTCAAACAATTACAGACTTGGCATCTCCTCTTTCTTCATTACCAGTCAGTTTATCAAAAGGGAAAGGATTACTCTTTGTGCCTTTCACTTCCTGGTCTTAGACATCTGCCCTGTATGTGTATACAGTTCTTTCAGTAATTTTCCACAGTATGGGCCATTCTGTTTTAACCATTTATTTTCTTGCTATTCCTTATAATACTGGACTGTTATTTTATTTATTTTGTTTTGTTTTATCCATCTGGTACATACAAAGAGCAGCTATAAATTGGGAAATGGAACGAAGAGAGAAACTCAGGAAAGTTACAATCACCACTGAGTAATGAGTAAATTGTTGGATCTGCTGCCTGAAAAGTGTTCTAATCCCAATGGACTTCATCCTTTGGTCTTAAAAAAGTGACTTGGTTGATGCTTTGGTTTTAATTTTCCAAAATTCCCTAGATTTGGGGAAAGTCCCATTAAATTGGAAGATAACAAATTGTTTAATTATCCTTCATTTTGAAAGGGAGATAGAAAGCCGGAAACTACAGTCCAATTAGCATAACATTTGTAATGGGAAAAATGTTGGGAGCCATTATAAAGAAATTATAGTGTTATGAGTTAAGTTCAAAATAATCAGGAAGAGTCGACATGATTTTGAGAAGAGGAACTCATGTTTAGATGATCTATTGGAGCTCTTTGAGGGAGTAAACTTCTCTGGATATAGGAGTACCAATTGATGTAATGCACTTAAATTTCCAGAAGGCATTTGATGAAGTGCCACTTTAAAGGTTACTTTACAAAATTAAAGGTCATGGCATAGAGGGTAGTATTTACAGGGATAGAAGATTGGCTGGCTAACAGGAAACTGAGAGTAGGCATAAATGAGACAACAAGGTGCAGGGCTGGATGAACACAGCAGGCCAAGCAGCATCATAGGAGCAGAGAGGCTGACGTTTCGGGCCTAGACCCTTCATCAGAAAAGGGGGAGGGGAAGGGGGTTTTGAAATAAATAGGGAGAGAGTGGGAGGCGGATAGAAGAGGGATAGAGGAGAGGATAGGTGGAGAGGAAACAAACAGGTCGAAGAGGCGGGGATGGGGCCAGGAAAGGTGAGTGTAGGTAGGGAGTTAGGAAGGGGATAGGTCAGTCCAGGGAGGACGGACAGGTCAAGGGGGCGGGATGAGGTTGGTCGGTAGGAGATGGAGGTGCGGCTTGAGGTGGGAGGAGGGGATAGGTGGGAGGAAGAACAGGTTAGGGAGGCAGGGACGAGCTGGACTGGTTTTGGGATGCGGTGGGGGGAGGGGAGATTTTGAAACTTGTGAAATCCACATTGATACCATTGGGCTGCAGGGTTCCCAAGCGGAATATGAGTTGCTGTTCCTGCAACCTTCGGGTGGCATCGTTGTGGCACTGCAGGAGGCCCAGGATGGACATGTCGTCTGAGGAATGGGAGGGGGAGTTGAAATGGTTCGCGACTGGGAGGTGCAGTTGTTTATTGCAAACCGAGCGTAGGTGTTCTGCAAAGCGGTTCCCAAGCCTCCACTTGGTTTCCCCGATGTAGAGGAGGCCACAACGGGAACAGCGGATGCAGTATACCACATTGGCAGATGTGCAGGTGAACATCTGCTTGATGTGGAAAGTCTTCTTGGGGCCTGGGATGGGGGTGAGGGAGGAGGTATGGGGGCAGGTGTAGCACTTCCTGCGGTTGCAGGGAAAAGTGCCGGGTGTGGTGGAGCTGGAGGGGAGTGTGGAGCGGACAAGGGAGTCACGGAGAGAGTTGTCCCTCCGGAAAGCAGATAAAGGTGGGGAGGGAAAGATGTCTTTGGTGGTGGGGTCGGATTGCAGATGGCGGAAGTGTCGGAGGATGATGTGTTGGATCCGGAGGTTGGTGGGGTGGTACGTGAGGACGAGGGGGATTCTTTTTTGGTTTTTATTGTGTGGACGGGGTGTGAGGGATGAGGTGCGGGAGATGTGGGAGACACGGTTGAGGGCGTTCTCGACCACCGAGGAGGGGAAGTTACGGTCCTTGAAAAACGAGGACAACTGAGATGTACGGGAGTGGAATGCCTCATCCTGGGAGCAGATGCGGCGGAGGCGAAGGAATTGGGAATAGGGGATAGCATTTTTGCAGGAAGGTGGGTGGGAGGAGGAGTATTCTAGGTAGCTGTGGGAGTCGGTGGGCTTGAAATGAATATCGGTTTCGAGGTGGTTGCCCGATATGGAGACAGAGAGGTCCAGGAAGGGGAGAGAGGTGTTAGAGATGGTCCAGGTAAACTTAAGGTTGGGGTGGAAGGTGTTAGTGAAGTGTATGAACTGTTCGAGCTCCTCGTGGGAGCACAAGGCGGCGCCGATACAGTCATCAATGTAACGGAGGAAGAGGTGGGGTTTAGGGCCGGTGTAGGTACGGAAGAGGGATTGTTCCACGTAACCTACAAAGAGGCAGGCGTAGCTTGGGCCCATGCGGGTACCCATGGCTACCCCCTTTGTCTGTAGGAAGTGGGAGGAATTGAAAGAGAAGTTGTTGAGTGTGAGGACGAGTTCGGCTAAGCTGATGAGGGTGTCAGTGGAGGGGGACTGGTCGGGCCTGCGGGACAGGAAGAAGCGGAGGGCCTTAAGGCCATCTGCATGGGGAATGCAGGTGTAGAGGGACTGGACGTCCATGGTAAAGATGAGGTGTTGGGGACCGGGGAATTGGAAGTTCTGGAGGAGGTGGAGGGCGTGGGTGGTGTCGCGGACATAGGTAGGGAGTTCCTGGACCAAGGGGGAGAAAATGGAGTCGAGATAGTTGGAGATCAGTTCGGTGGGGCAGGAGCAGGCGGAGACAATGGGTCGACCAGGGCATTCAGGTTTGTGGATTTTGGGAAGGAGATAGAAGCGGGCAGTGCGAGGTTGGGGAACGATGGGGTTGGAGGCCGTGGGTGGGAGGTCACCTGAGGTGATGAGGTTGTGGATGGTTTGCGAGATGATGGTTTGGTGCTCAGGGGTGGGGTCTTGATCAAGGGGGCAGTAGGAGGAGGTGTCGGAGAGTTGGCGTCCGGCCTCGGCGATGTAGAGGTCAGTGCGCCATACTACAACTGCACCTCCCTTGTCCGCGGGTTTTATGGTGAGTTTGGGATTGGAGTGGAGGGAGCGGAGGGCTGCACGTTCTGCAGGGGACAGGTTGGAGTGGGTGAGAGGGGTGGAGAGGTTGAGGCGATTGATGTCTCGACGGCAGTTGGAGATGAAGAGGTCGAGGGAGGGTAGGAGGCCTTGAGGTGGTGTCCAGGAGGAGGGGGTGTGTTGGAAGCGGGAGAAGGGGTCAGTAGAGGGAGGGTTAGGTTCACGGTTAAAGAAGTAAGCGTGAAGGCGGAGACGGCGGAAAAACTGCTCTATGTCCAAGCGTGAGCGATATTCGTTGATGTGTGGGTGGAGGGGGACAAAGGTGAGCCCTTTACTGAGGACTGACCGTTCGTCCTCAGTAAGGGGTAGGTCTGGGGGGATGGTGAAGACTCGGCAGGGCTGGGTGCTGCTGTCTCCTCTGGAGCTGCTGGCTGTGGAGGTGGTGGGCGGAGCTGTGTCGGCGTCGGCTGTGGGCGGAGCGTCATCGGCGTCGGCTGTGGGCGGAGCTGCGTCGGCGGTGGGCGGAGTTGTGCCGGTGTCGGCGGTGGGCGGAGTTGCGCCGGCGGTGGGTGGAGTTGCGTCCGCGTCGGTGATGGGCGGACCGGCGTCGGAGGTAGGAGGAGCGGGGTAGGCGGCGGCAGTAGCGGTGAGGGTGGTCGCGACTTCAGTGTCGGTGGCAACGGCAGCGATGGTGTTCGCTGTCCCGGAAGTGGGGAACCCGGCGGTGGCGGATGTGACGTCATCTGTGGGTTCTCCGATAGTGGCCTCATGGCCAATGGCGGCGGACCCATTGTGGGGAAGGTCCTGGGTACGGCTGGGGATTTGGGGGGTGGAGGAAGCCCGTTTTGGGTGGTAGGCACCAGTAAGTTTACTGTACTTACGGTTTTATGGCATAAATGGGTCTTTTTTAGGTTGGCAAGATCTAAAGAGTGGTGTGCCACAGGGATCAGTGCTTGATCCTCAATGTTTTACAATTTATACAAACAGATGAAAGAATTGAAGGTGTGGTTGCCAAATTTGCTGATGACACAAAGGTAGAGGGAAAAATAAGCTGTGATGAAGACTTAAGCAAGGTACACAAATACGCAGATAGATTGAGTGGGCAGAGATGTGGAAAACTGAATATAGTATGGGAAAATGTGAAATTGGCTATTTTGTCAATAAGGTTAAAAAAGAATCTAAATGGTGAGAGATTGCTGAGCTCTGAGATGCAGAGGGATCTGGGTGTCTTTGTGTCTGAATTGCAAAATGCAGGCAGAGCAAAAAATTTAGAAGTTAATAGTCTTTCTCAAAGGACATTAGTGAACCAGACAAGTCTTTATGACAATTGACAGTGGTTACATGGTCAGATTTAATTCCACATACTTGTCAAATTCAAGTTTCACCATCTATCATGATCAGATTTGAACCAATGTCCCCTTTAGGAAATCTAGATTACTAGGCCAGTGATCTGATCATTGTACTATTGCTAACCTTCACTGATCCTCCTCACAGGATCTCCTCTCTACCTCCTCCACATTTCCTGCTCATGTTGCAGAGCAAGTACCACTGCAGTTACTGCTCCCATGCTGTGTAGTACAACATATGTTTCTGCCTTTCTGTGAGTAAATGAAAAGTTCCTCAGGTGGTAACCTATTGAATTGCCTCATTGATTGCAACAAAACAGGGCACAGCATTCTTCCTGATGCTTGTTGTCTCAGGAGTGAATACGGAAAACATACTCTGCACAAATGGTGCTCAATTTAGTTGGCTTATGTTGCGACAGCCAATGATCTTGCTCCTTCAACCTCTTCGGTCACACACAGGAAAGGCATCTGCATGTGTTGATCCAGTTACTTGTTGCAATTTGCGTCGGTTTCTTGGTTAAGACCGAACATTGCCTCCAATGCTGCAACACTGCATAACTCGAAGCGCCAATACAGAAGTGAATTTCGTAGCTATGGAGTTGAAAAATGGACCAATCTGAAAAGATGTAGCTATTTATGGTGGAAACTGTGAAAATAAAAGCAAATTTAAGAGCGAGTCAATGCTTTCAGGAAAAGAGGGGACATAAACGAAGCAAGTTTTGTTTTTGAAAAGAGAACAACCTTAAAAAAGTGTCTTATTCAAAATAGAGTCAGCAAGGCTCACTTAGTACATTCACGTTTAATAACTGAGCCTACGGATTTGATTGAAATAAAAAGAACTTGAATATCAGTTCTGTGCTTTGTAGAAATTTGTAGGAAAATTTAGAAATTAAATTAGATTAGTAAGCCTGGAGCAGTGAGATACCAATCAGACGTGGTTTTGATGTAGAAACGGAAATGGTATTGCACAACCTTTGTGATTGACTCGGCAAAAGAGTCTCGTGCAGTTGTAGCAGATTCGCAGCTGCTGCCAAGATGAACTTTAATCATGATTACCTGCAGTTAATACTGACACTGCAGTACACTCAGGTTCTGCTTCAAACAACTGAAGGTAAGTTGTGAGTATTCCATTTCTGAATAGATCTAGCCACAACTCTTCTTCTGCTTAAAGCAGTTTACGAATAGAATGCAATTAAAATATTATTTAAATTAAGTTTGGGTAAATACTGCAATAAACAGCTTCCTTATGTTCAAGTCAACTCTTTCAATGTTATTCTTGGAGATAAAGAATTTACCTTCTTTACATTCTCAGACAAAAGCAGTTGATTGCTGTCAAATTAATATTTCCTTCCCTTGATAGCCATCCCAGACAGGATAAAAGTCTCTCAAACTCCTCCAGAAATCAATGTCTCTGAAGGAAATTCTATCAACATGGAATGTTCTTGCGAAGAGGATGTACAAGTGGAAAGCATTAGGGCAGATTGGACCAAAGACTCAGAATCGATCCTCAATGCAACCAGTTCAAATGGTTCTGTAAATCAAGCTTACATCAACAGACTCTCTTACTCTGTTGAAAATACAAAATCAAAGGTGACAATCAAAAGTATTACTCGAGATGATGCAGGACTGTATCGCTGTAACATGTTGATTGAAATACCACCACCAGTTCGAAGAGGCTATGGAAATGGAACAATATTGACAGTGCAAGGTAAACTTCCACTAAAATTAAAAATCCATGTACTATTACATGGGATGCTCAAATGCCTGACAAACAGATATTTTTAGTCACCTCGTATCTAGACAATGTCATTGATATTTGAAAGTAAAAAACTTGATTTGAAATAATACTGTCAATTGTATAGTTTTTATTTCATATCAATTTAATAAATAGTAGCAGTGAGACTCTAGCCCTGTTAACGGCTTGAAGAACAATAAACTTAATTTAAAACCAAAAGAACTGTGGATGCTGTAAATCAGGAACAAAAACAGAAGTTTCTAGAAAAGCTGAGTAGGTCTGGCCGCATCAGTGAAGAAAAATCAGAGTTAACGTTTCGGGTCCGGTATTCTGAGGAAGTGTTCTGAGGAAGGATCACTGGACCCAAAACTTAACTCTGATTTTTCTTCACAGGTGCTGCCAGAACTGCTGAGCTTTTCCAGCAACTTCTGTTTTTGTTCTGAGCTTTGTGTAACCTCGCTTCATAAATTAACCCTTGGAGTCCGATTATCATTCTGGTAAATCTATGCAGCACGCCCTTCCTAAGATGTGAAATGTTGAACAATTCACAATATGACTGATGCGTGACCTATGATGCTGCTTGGCCTGCTGTGTTCATCCAGCTCTGCACCTTGTTGTCTCGGATTCTCCAGCATCTGCAGTTCCTACTATCTCTGATGCATGACCTCTACCTCTTTGAATTCTAGCCCATGAGGGATGAAAGACAAATCCAATATTAGCCTTTTTATTTTCTGTCCATCTTCACAACATTTTCATGCTCTATGTGTCTGGACTCCCCATGTTTCTTTGGGCCTTCACTTTTTCTCGCATTTTGCCATTTAGAATATATCTTGTTCTACCCTTTTCATATCCAAAGTATACGGCCTCACATTTGTCAATATTGAAATTGACTTGCTCCAGTCTTGCCTATCTATATAATCTGTTAACAGCTCATTGTAATTTTACACTCCCATCTACACCGCTTATAATGATACCCAAAACTGTGATAATGATAAATTTGGTTATGTAGTTTCCTATTCCATCATCGCAGTCACAATTAAATATGGAGAATAATTGAGGCCCCAACATAGATCCTGATGAGGTAGCATTCATTAAAACCAGCTGATTAGAGTAGTCACCCAACCTCATTACACTTTGTGTCCTTCCACTGTTACTGAACTAAGTAAACAATTTGCCTTCAATTGCAAGAGTTTCAACATTTAATTTGCTCTTATGAAGGACTTAATTGAATGCCTAAAGAGAGGAACTGGTTTAAAATTATTTATAATACCTAATATTTCATTTGAAAAGCCAATAATGAACTTCTGAAACCAAAGATATTGACAAAGCACAGAATAACAAAACCTACGGAAGATTATTCATTGTATTACACATCAAAAGTAATACACATACTTTACTTTCTAATGTAACTACTCAGTATTGATAATAACATCTCAGATTGAATGAGATACTGTATTCACAAATGTATTATTTTCAATTATGAGTAAACAAATATTTAACACAGAGCCTTTATTAAATTATAACTGTATTCAAGGGAATCAATTAATTCAACATATGTAGTTTTTACTCAATGGATTATTAGTTATCTGTTGTACTGCAAGTAGCTATAGATGTCGAAACCACAACTTCATTCAAAATGTAATGCGATAAGCATTTAAAATGGGAGAACATAGAAAGCTGAAGAATGAAATGAGAGTACGTAGTTTATGAGCCAGTGACAGTAAAAATGGTCCAGTAACCTCCTTTGTGCTGGTCTTATGATTGTACTTTGTAAATGTTTAAAGGAAAAATCAAATGCATTTTTTTGAGTTCATTAAATTAAAATTGCCTTATATTGCTCAGACTCTTCAATGGCATCATCTACTCAATGTTTGCCATTTTATTATGAACGTAGAACATAGAACAGTATAGCACAGTACAGGCCCTTCGGCCCACGATGTTGTGCCAAACTTTTACCCTAAACCTGAGGTCTACCTAACTTCCACCCCTATCTTATACTATCATCCACATGCCTATCTAGTAGCCGCTTAAAGGCCCCTAATGAGGCCAACTCCACTACCCTCTTCGGCAATGCATTCCACACCCCTACTACTCTCTGAGTAGAGAACCTACCTCTGACCTCTCCTCTATATCTATCTCCACTCACTTTAAAACTATGCCCCCTCATAATAGCTACCTCCACTCTAGGAAAAAGTCTCTGGCTGTCCACTCTGTCTATACCTCTTACCATTTTGTACACCTCTATCAAGTCACCTCTCATCCTTCATCGTTCTAAAGAGAAAAGCCCTAGCTGTCTCAACCTTTCCTCGTAAAACCTTCCCTCCATTCCAGGCAACATCCTGGTAAATTTCCTCTGCACCTTTTCCAACGCTTCCACATCTTTCCTGTAATGAGGCGACCAGAACTGGACACAATACTCCGAATGTGGCCGAACCAGGCTTTTGCACAGCTGGAGCGGATAAATCTTTGAATCTAGTAAAATCTAATTCAATCCAAATTAACTCCTACTTTTGGTTTATGCACATGAATGATTTTAACTTATTCTTCAACTTATTCTTCGTCTCCTCCCATTTTTCATCTACGCACTGCCACACAGTAATGTCAACTGAAAGCACATCACTTGTATGCAGCCAGCAGTCAGGCTTGTCTCACTGCCACTTCCTTGGCTCCTCAAGTGTCTCTGAGTTCTCACACTGTTTGTCCGCCGTCCAGTATAGAATTATTAAAAATCTCCTTTTACTAAATATTGGTAGAAATGAAGCTGTTGGCTTTGGTCTCCGCGTCTCTGTCCGCCCTTTCTCCCCGCCACCCTTACCCACATAGACCCAAAATCTTCATTCCTCGTCCACTGTTTCTATCCCTGGTCACTGTCTTAAACTCAGCGAGACTATTTGCAGCCTCAGCGTTGTGTTCGATAAAAACTTGAGTTTCTGATCAATTATCTGCATCAGCCCTGGGACTGCTGCTTCCATCTCTACAACACTGCTTCAGTCCTATCTTGCCTCACTTTGTCTGCTCAACAAAAAAAAAGGTTGCTGGAAAAGCTCAGCAGGTCTGGCAGCATCTGTGAAGGAAAAAACAGTTAATGCTTTGGGTCCGGTGGACCTGAAATGTTAACTCTGTTTTTTGCCTTCACAGATGCTGCCAGACCTGCTGAGCTTTTCCAGCAATCTTGTTTTTGTTTCTGATTTACAGCATCCACAGTTCTTTTGTTCTTTTTTTCAGTTCGTCTGCTACCTTTTTATCCTCAATTCCTGATTATTCCAATGCTCTTCTAACTGGCCTCCTATCTTCGAGCTTTGATAAACTAGTATTCATTCAAAATCCTAATGCTCATATCTTAAATCAGTCGTCATACCTATGATTGCTCACCTGCACTGTTACCCATTGTTCACCTTCACTCTTTCCCATTCAGAAATACTCCAGTTTTAAAATCATCACTCTTGTTTTCAAATTCCGCCAAGGGTTCACTATTCCCTATTGTTTGTAGCTTTCTCCAGCCCTACAGTTTAGAGACTTTTATGGTTCTCCAGCTCTGGCTCTTGCACATCCTTCATTTGAATCGCTCAATTTGTGGCTTTGGTTTCAGTTGCCTTGGTCCCAAGCTAGAATTCCTTTTCTAATCCTCTCCACATCTTTCTACTTTTGTAAGATGTACATTAAAGCCTGGTGTTTTCTTTTTCCAATTTCTCGTGATTCCTCCTTATGTGAGGCAGTGTCAAAAATGTCAAAATATTATTACTTGTGGCAGCCTTAGGGAAGCACCTTAAGATGTTTATCCCATTAAATGTTCTAGATAGCACTCAAACTTTTTACAGAGAAACACTGGAGGGGAGATAGATGATTCCTGTTAGGGAGAGAGGGGGAGGATAGGAAATTACCAGGCAAGTAACGTTCATATTCACTTTTTTCCATCTGCTTACATTGCCTGTATGACTGTTCTGCATCACTACATTTGTCTAAATGTCATGTCTAGACTTAACTGCAAGATCATCAACTAAAAGAAGGGGAAACTTTATTTTATGTGGAGGGTCATGGAAAACCTGCAAAATCAGTGATAGGAGTCAATCAACAAGGTTCTGACTGGCAAAGAAATGGATAAAAAAGACGTTGAAACAAAAAAAATCTTTAACATATTTGTTGATTATTGCTTTGAGCAGCATTTCTTTTGAGATTGTCAATGTTCTGTTCTGTGATGGTTCATTCACCAATAGTGCTGGTTACACTGTCCCAAGTAAGATTTAATATTCATCCAGGCTTTTTATATTCATCATTATTTTTATTTCCAATTTGAAAAAAAATTACAATGATTTACTGGGCAGCCTGTTGGAGCACAATCTGTCAGTCGGCTGCCTTTAGTTAAAACGTAACTTTTAGTGAAAGAAGCTGCTGCTGGAAGCAAGTTTTTGAAATGACTTACCATTTTCAATTTCTATGATAAAATCTTTTCAAGCCTTATCGGGAGACTATGCGTACAGTGCTCTGGCAAATCTTTGTCATTTGGTTATAAGGACAAATTTTGATTTGACACAACTGTTGGTTTTAATCCTGTGGTTCTAGTAAGATGGCCCAATAGTGCTTCCCACGCATCATATAAAAAGCATCAGATGTGAGGCAACAAGGTGTAGAGCTGGATGACACCTTGTTATCTCAGATTCTCCAGCGTCGGCAGTTCCTACTATCTCTGAATCAGATGTGAGATGTTGATTTGCAATCTTACCCGCTGATGATATCAGGCCTCAATTCCTTGTACTCTGCTTCCTTCAATGTCACTCTGTGGCATATTCTATAGCATGCAGCATACTACAACTGTGCTCGCAACCTTGGCAAATGTATACTATAATACTCCAGTGGAATTATCAAGGCCTGATCATTGAAGGGACCTGGTGTGCAGTTTGAGGATATTGTTCCCCCTGAATCCATCCACATTTTGAGGGGTGGGAGTAGGAGAGATGAGGCAGGTTTGACTCCTC